AAATTCATATCTGTGATACTCTAGTATTTCTACTGTCCTTCGATGACAGGTTTTTTCGTTCTTAATGTATTGATTTCAATATTGATATCAATTAAATTGTTCTCGTCACGATATGGCTCAAATATTGCCGATGTGACGCTAAATATTAACTCACTCAATCAGTTAGAAAATATTACTAAGTTCGACAGATACGCACATAAATGTTCCGGAAAATCTGTCATCTGTTGATTTAATACCTACCCTATTCTGTTGCTTAGTAACGCTGGTTTCATTATCCGAGTTGAACTACAAACTTTAGCAGATAAGCGAAATTGTAGTTCTATTGTTCATGCAAAAAAGTGTTCCAAAATCGTTGGTGTTGTTTTTATGAGGAAACGCGATCGATTGCTAGGTTTGGTCAGTGAGTCCAATCTTTCTTTCTATTAATTATTTGGAACACCGCTAGTGAATAGGGCCATCGTTTTCTGTGAAATAATGTGGCACACAGTTACACACCCTCGAAATCGTGTATGACAAGTAACTGGACAGAAGAAAATGGACAATGTGGTAAAATTTGACAGAAGTGCATTTTGTTGCTTGCAATGTGTCGTTAGTATACAACAACGATATTTACAGCTCAACGAGGTAATTTGTAACATATGGCGCTGGGATCCACCTTCCCACAGAACATCTGTGCACGTAGAATGATTATTAATCATGACTTCATGTCTTTCTCTTATCCTTCGTTGCATGCATGGCTAATGCTGGAATACAAATGTCCACTGAAGGTACTGGAACACTGAAAACCTAAAAAAGATAAAAGCTACATCTTGCAATTCGAGAGCCATTTTCCAAAAACATAGCTCAAACTCTGACAAGACTTTCTCATTCATATATCAAACAGAAATAATTGTTGACAGCAGTCATGGATGCTAAGGCCCAAGCCAGAGTATCATGTTGTACTTCAAAATTATTTCGTGTCCTGTCACTTTTAAGCAAGGTAAGTGTCAGTCTTCAACTAAGTATGTCTCCAAAACATTATTTAACACTCATATGTCCACAGTGTGAACATGGTACAAAAATCAAATTAAATCCTTCTCTTCGCATGTTAAAGAAGGGGTTCAGTTATTAACGCATACAACTACCATTAGCATTAAACTTCCAAATATCAAAAAACAACAGAAGAAGAAATTCCGATATAATGATCAATACTTCTTTGAGTGGCATTTTAGAAGTTGGGAAGTACAATATAGAACAAACTTTATGGATAACAACTTCTTTTTCTTCGTGAGTGCGACGTTTCGATACAGATTCTTGTACCGTTGTCAAGCATAATGGAACATGAAGAAGTGGGAAGTATATATATACTGGTTGTAACAATGTAACAAAGAAAACAACATAATTAACATAATTTGCTAGGTAGAAAGCTGATGAAGCCAGAGAGTCATATTAGTATGCACGATCTTTTGCTACAACTAGAGCAGCTCTTGATGCATCAGAGCTGAAGGGAGGCTAAATAACACACTCATTACCTCCATCTTTTACTTGACAAATTCAGTCACGATTTAGAATTCGCACAGTGAGTAAGTGAGTTAATATTTGACGTCACATCGGCAATTTTTTCAGCCATATCGTGACGAGAACAAATTGGACATTTATAAACAATATGTTTATAATATAAAACTTGTCGTCAAAGGTCTAAAACAACTAATCTATCACAGTGAGAATTAAAACTAGCATGCACAGTTAAAACTAATAACATTATTTGGACAATACGTAATATAAAAACGCTATAGATCGCCAACAACTGAAGGTAGATCCCCATACTAGGGATCACGGGGACTTTTGCAAACTGCATGGACATAATTTGCATATCGGTACGAGTTGATTTCTAAAGCGTAACGCAAAGGTTAATACAGGAATGTGAACTTCAAGAAATATATTATATTTTGGAATTAGTAAATGATCACACAAGTACAATGAATTGCCGAAAACTTATATTGACTCACGTAGTTTATGACTGACATCCGAACAGTGCTGTATACTCGGACAAATAAGTGGCAGAAGTAACTAGTAACATTGGACTCACAACTTTCCGGACGCGCGAACGTCACTTGCTTGCGTCTGTTGTTGACTGTTGAATGGAGTTGGAAGTCGAAAGGAACTGAGTGTTGTAGAATCGGCACATGACAAGTAGAGGAAGAAATGTCATATTGATTGTATATATGTTTTTAAAAACAAAGCTGAATGCATTATTGCAATAGAATTGAAGATACTTACCATTCAGACATATGCACACTGATTGAAAAAAAGTTTGTTAATGTCATTTAATTACCATAATACTGACATAGCAAAGTACCAGATGGATTTAAATTCGACTAATTATTCAAAATTAGGAGTTCGGCGATGTTTTATTTGATTTTTTTTACTGAAGCAATTATTCTGTAATTAACATAATATTGACAAAGTAGAGCATAACGATTTACGCATTAACGATTTACGCATTACTTTCTCTTTGAATAATCTGAAACAGTGTCATATATAATAATATTTCCGTTTAACAAATAAAACACAGACAAAACAAGAGAAACATTACCGTCCCAACTAAACATACAAATTTGTTCTTAAATATTTACAAAAGAATTTGAATTATTCAAAATGAGATAGCAAATGAAACGCTCCAAGTCCAATAAAGTAGAGGAATGTTTTTCATCTAAGGACAATAATATGCTATGTATTACGCAATATTTTAATTGATATTTTGTTCCTGAAGCTTTATTACAAAGAACAGACTCTCACCCAGGGTAGTGAAGGGCCCAATTTTGTTTGATATGTGTAGATTGGAATACCCCGCAAAACACAGACCGCAGAACTTGGTAAGAAAATAGAATCAGTCAGTAATCTCCAGACAGATGCACAAAGTTCATCACCAACATCATGCCTACTTGATGAGATGGCAATTCTCAGTGAAAGATATAATTTCAAACCCATCGATGGTTTTGTTGAGCCTGTCTGTTTCCAACTTGGGAAGTCTAACTATCATTTTGTCACTGTGGTCTTTGTCAGATATGACAAAACAATTTCTACGAAAGACATTGAGATCATCAACTCATATCAGGTCAGAAGGTGTTGATGTTCTCGACAAAGAAGGAAGGTGATTGATCTCTTCAACTGTAGTAGAATATAGAATGGGGATTCTGTGACAGGCCAACTAAGCGCGCCACTATATGCCAATTCCGCTTCTAGCCCCCCAGTATAAATTAACTATTTCGAGCAGAGACATCATTCAATGTACATCCCAGACCCCGGACATGCACCTCTGTTACAGGCGAACTAAGAGCATCATTATATGCTAATTCTGCTCCCAGCCCCCAAATATAAATCAACGATTTCGAGCAGAGACATCATTCCATGTACATCCCATGCACCTCAATGATTTCGAGCAGAGACATCATTCGATGTACAGCCCATGCACCTCAACGATTTCGAGCAGAGACATCATTTGATGTACAGCCCAGACCTGCACCTCAACGATTTCGAGGGACATCATTCGATGTACAGCCCATGCACCTCAACGATTTCGAGCAGAGACATCATTCGATGTACAGCCCATGTACCCCATGTTTCGAGCAGAGACATCATTCGATGTACAGTCCATGTACCTCAACCAGTGTTGCATCTAGAGCGCGTTTTTGCGTAATTACGCAGTAAAATAGAAAAATGACGCAGTGATATTTCATGTGTGCGCTACATAGAACGCGCGAGTTATTATTTTCACGCATATATTCGTTGCTAAGCTACATGAATTAAAAACTGTTACTTGCCATTGCTCCCTATATTGGAAATACCAAGCTATAAATATCACTTTTCCAAGAACATGCCCGGACACGTCTAGATATCGCAGTGATTTCCAAGTGATTTTTTCATTGGTCAAATTTAATGTTTAGCATTCGGAATCATTTCGGCATATGTTAGGAACTCGGAAAAACAGGTTTGTTACCAGATCCCATACAGAATTGATCGTAATTGTTCGCCTATTTCCGTCGTACCTCGTAATTTTCTTGGAAATGGTGAATGAGGCCAGATCGGCGAGCGAAGTAACGGCAGCGGTGATGTTCGGTAAAGTTGAGTCATATTATCACGTTGATAAAGACATGTCGTCAAATAAGAAGAAAAGACGAATCACAGACTTTTTTCACGAAACGGCAGGTGCTAGTGAAGTTAATTCAAATGCATTCCCGATAATGGCGACCACGTGCGTGATAGTGATGAACTCAATGTTAATTCTGACGAAAGTGACAGTTGCGAAGAACATCTTCCACAGACCGGAAAACGAAAATTTGTGCGCAAATTTCGGAACAAGTGGCTAAAGAAATATGATTGGCTTGAGTATGATGAGGCAAGTGGAATAATGAGTTGCAAACTTTGTAAAAGCTGTAACTTAAGTAATACACTGACGACATCTTGCAAGAATTATAGATCGTCGACTTTGACTAGACGAGAAATTACTTGACCATAAGATTCTCCGAAAAGAACTTGCTTCAACGAAATGACTTTATTACAGCGACAGAAACGGCAATTTCTCGAAAATCAGCAAGTATCGTTGCCGCAATGCGTTGTGCATATTGGCTGTGTAAGGAAGGTGTTGCAAGTTCCAAGTACCCTTCTCTTGTATCATTGTGTAAACTTCAAGGATGTGAAGATATTTTGTCATTAGGTGTTGGTAAAAATGCAACATATACTTCACGGGAAACTGCTGATGAAATTCAGGATGCATTTGTGGATGTAATCACAGAAGATATTGACATGAAACTTAGATCATCAGTGTTTAAATCTGTTTTGACAAATGAGAGTACAGACATTAATGTGACAAAAAAGCTTGTTATCTATGGAAGAATGATGTTTGAAAACATGCAACAAGAAACTATTTTTTTGGAAACATTGAACTAAAGGGTTCACGAGCAACTGCACAAGTCATTTACAAACACATGAAAGAATTTATGCAGTCAAGAGGAATTGAAATGAGTGACATCATTGCACTTGGCACAGACGGAGCGTCATTGATGACAGGTAGGAAATTTGGAGTGGCCAAATTCCTGCAGGACGATAGTCCCCATGTTGTAAATATTCATTGTGTGGCACACAGACTAAACTTGTGCACATCAAAGGCAGCTGACGAAGTGGAGTATGTTGGGAAAGTGTTTCAGAAAACTCTTACAGACTTATTTTATTATTTTAAGAAATCAGCATGCAGAGTTGCAGAACTTGCCGAGGTACAGAAATTATTAGATGACCCCCAAATAAAAGTAAAGGAAGTCCACGAGATCAGGTGGTTTGCTATGTACAATGCACTTTTCACTGTGTACAAGACATGGAGGTCTTTACTGAGATATGTCAAAAAGATTGACAAGAGGAGCTCAAAGGAAGAGGAACAACTAGCCAACTTCACAGATTACAAGTTCATTTTCAAGCTCCATGTGATGATGGATGTGATCCCCAGGTTTACTGAATTGAATTTGGTATTCCAAAAAGTAGATCTTGATGTTTCATGTGTGCAGCCTGCAGTTGAGGGATGTCTGTCTTGTTTGAAATGTGCACTCAGTGGCAAAAGCCACTATCAGCCACTGCTCAAAGATAAAATGATTCTTAAAAAAGAAAATGACAATGTGATAGCTAAGTACTGGGGAGAGAAGTTACATAATTACCAAGCAAAGAAATCAGAGGAAATCAGGGACAAATTTTTGAATGCTCTTCAAGACAGAGTTGAAAAGAGGTTTCCTAAAGAATCAGTCAGTGTCTCTACTGCTTTTAGTGTCATGGGACTAAGGAGTATAAGCATGCTGTCTGAAGAGGATCTTGTCAACTATGGAAAGGAGGAAATGGAAATTCTGACTAACTTTTATGGTTCTGATCGGACAGGGAATGGAGAATATCTTAGCAAGGCCAAAATTGACCAAATTGGAACTCGGTGTGAGTGGGGCATTTTGAAGAGAGTTGTTCTGAAGGAAAGGTATGCAAGGGACAATTTCAGTAAACTTTGGACTGAGATATGTGCACATCACAAGTCCATGTTTCCCAACCTCCTGACCCTAGCTAGGCTTGCTCTTGTAGTGCCCTTGCAAACAGTTGATTGTGAACTGGGCTTCAGCTGCCAGAACAACATCCACAACCCTGCAAGAAACAGACTGTGTGCTGAGAGGCTGAACACACTGATGTTGATAAAACTAGAGGGCAAGGAGGTAGATGAGTTTGACTATGTGCGAGCATTGGAGAAGTGGAAGAAGAAAGTGGACAGGAGAATCTTCAAAGCTTAGACAGCTGAGTTATAGCTGAGATGTCTCATCTAGTCTTTATTCCAAGTATTGCTGTACATCATTGAAGTTAATAAGAAGACATTTCAAAAGATATGATATTGTTTATTGTCTTTATAAGATCGTTACAGTGAGGAGTGACTCAAAAAACAGTGGCCCACTGTCAATACATGAGTGGCCCACTGATTTAAAAACAGTGGGCCACTGTGACCCACTATGGTCAAATCCTAGATGCAACACTGCTCAACGATTTCGAGCAGAGACATCATTCGACGTACAGCCCATGCACCTCAACGATTTCGAGCAGAGACATCATTCGATGTACAGCCCATGCACCTCAACGATTTCGAGCAGAGACATCATTCGATGTACAGCCCAGACCTGCACCTCAATGATTTCAAGAGACATCATTCGATGTACAGCCCAGACCTGCACCTCAATGATTTCGAGAGACATCATTCGATGTACAGCCCATGCACCTTAGAAACTCCCCCGGGGGGGTTTCGGTTCTGTTACAGGCCAACTAAGAGGCCAAATTATATGCCAATTTCGTCACTCAATGTACAGCCACCTCAGAAACTCCCACTCAGTGGTTTATGAGCGTGTGCCAGTACGCGTAAGTCGTGACGCGTTGCGTCGGCGGCGATCCACCGTTTGGTGTCCATGGGCGACAGCGACCTCTTGTTGAGGGTGATGCCATAGATGTTGTGTTTGTCGCTTCTCAACGCATTCATTCGGTGTTTGAACGTCTTATTCTTGAACAGAGCTTGTTTGAAGAGGACGTGCTTGATGTGTTGTTTCACCACGTATTTCTTTGACCCCTTTGCCTTTCGGATCTCACCCTTGTCAGCTTTTAAGATGGAGTACATCTTAGGCCTAAAGCTGACGATTCGGCAATGGGTGCCCGCACATTCGTCCTTCATCTTGCTGAGGACCTTTTGTTGATCGCTGTGTAGGGCATGGTCCTTTGGGTAATCGCTGATGTCGTATATGTATGTGTTTTGCCATGTCCTCGCATTAACGCCCCTTCGTGCAGATATCAGCAACAAGGAATCTGTGTCCGTGTACAGCAGCCCGCAGATCGATCCCCGTATTGCTTCTTGAGCCGGTTGTAGTAGAAATCATGCATGAGATGTTTGGACTCGTCGAGAATGCTCATCCCCACGTAGACGGGTCGGTTGAGCTTGATGTGACTTTTGTTCATGTGCAGCGCCGCCAAATCGTTATCAAATAGCTTGCTTCGGTTGAAGGCCGGGCTAGCGATCAGTTTCCTGAGTTTTTCCTCCTGGTGCAATCGCACGAGTTTGACCGTCACCCGTTTTCTCAGGTTCTCCATCGTCTTACCAAACACCGAGTTGTTCATGAGCTTATACAAGTTCTTCTCGAAGTCACTGGTGGCCAGCTTTCGCAGGTCCGTGTTGATTCTGATGTAGGGCTCCATCCAAGGACTTTGGTTAAACTTGAGCACCCTATGAATTTTGGTCAGCTTCATACCCAATGATAGGTACAGCTGCAGGTTGCAATAGTGCACGACATACTTGGTCTTGTTCATCAAGTTCGGGACGAGTTTTTCCACCCGAGCCAGGGTGTTCTCACACATCCAGTCTCGGCAGACCATCAACTGTTCGGGGGGCCAGCAGATAGCTGTTTTGGGTAGCGTGTAATGCCTCGGGATACTCCGGATCCACTTCGAGGATGTAACCCTTCCCCGAATCCGACGCGATGCTCGTGATATCGATCTCATCGTCCAACCACTCAAACCCCCCAGTAGGCAGACACTGACTCATAGCCCAGCCGTACAGGTTGTTGGCATCGAGATAAAAGAGATGATTGGTGGGCTTGCTAGAGTCGTAGCCTTCCACGTACTTATTGTTGGCTCTTGCGTACCGTTTGGCGACCATGGAAATCCCTCCTCGTAAGCCTTTCTCGATGAACAGGTGCATGTTGTAATCCGTGAGCAATTCCAGCTTAACTCCGGTTTCTTCAGCAGCGCATCCCACGATAGACCAGGGCTGGTGTAGAACTGAGTTGATACTGTTTCAAACACATCGTCCTGAACGTTTCGAACAAGTCGGCTAGCAGGAGCACGTCCGTTCTCAAGTACAGATCGTGGTAGTCACCTAGATTCTTACATCCCAGTTTCTTCCACACGTTCTGCGCATGGTCGTAGTCGTCCTGGGAGATATGGGATTCGTTCAGGCTGCTGTAAAATCAGTAGATGGGAGGTAATCGGTTCTCGTCGAACTTAGACCAATCATCCATGTACTCGTATGGGTACACACCCTTCCTCATCAGCAGGGGCCGAGTCTCAGCGTTGGTGGATCGATCAGTGATGGGGAAGGTGTCATTGGCTTTGACCAAACTATCGAGCGATGACAGGAGGAACTGAGCACTGTCAATGAATCTCAGACCGTTGAGCGAGAATGAGATGTATTTTTCCATGTTGTTGGGGATGCACTTGATATCACCACCGACCTTCGAGATGGCCTGCATGATCAGGTAGGCATCGTACCCTCTCAGATTGTGGAAGACCATGGGGATGTTGATTGTTTTAGGGTTGATTCTAAGCTGGAGGTTGGACATGTTATGGGCGGCACCTCGGTACCGGCCAGTGATGTGGCAGTGATCTCTCACGACATCCCCGTTCAGGGGTCCCTGAAATATGTGGCAATTCTCAGCATGCTTTTGAGCGACTTGGTCCTTCGGCGTCATGCACATGGGGGCAGCGGTGTACAGCCTTTTCCTAATGATTTTCTCTTCCTGTTGCAAACACATCAGGAATCGTTCGGCCGCATTAGGACCTCGGTAGATGACTGGAGCGTTCGTTTGTCCATCGCATCGGACGACCATGTACCCGAACCCACAGGCTTAATAGTGTAACTATAAATGATTACCAAGCCAAGCCTCTTGTCAATCTCCAACAAGTCAGTGGATCCACAATACGTATCTGTAAATCAAATAATTGAAACAATGATTCTTTTAGAAATGTTATACGTGACTTGTGTCAATGCAATGTAAGGCTAAGAGGTTTAATAATTGGTTACATAAACTATTACACAAAGCCATGGGTGTAAAGTATATGTTATAATTGTTTTAATGGTAATAAAATGATAAAAAAGATGTACTGGTATAATTGGATAAATACCGCCATATAGCTGGAATATTGCCGAGTGCGGCGTAATACTAAACTCGCTTACTTAGATATATTGAGCTGACATCACATATAATTAGATAAGTAAACTTATATACAGGGAATGGTATACGTAGATCTAGGTGTAGAACTGAAAAGAATGAACATGATATAAACATGTCTAATACACGTGCATGTTTTGAGCTCAATAGGTAAATTACTTACACGATGAAGTTTTACGTCCAGCAGAACGTATATTGCCTACTCCTGACAGGGTTTTGAAAAATCACCTATTTGCCACTAACACAATCTCTCATGAGTAGGACTCATGAAGCTCGATGAGGACTTTTAAAGTAATGTGAATATGTTTTCAGATTTATTCACTTCTCTAGGCCTACATGTTGATGCTTGACACTGAGGAGGAGCAATTAGTGCCCATAATGCGATGAGAAGACCCTTAAGCCCATACAAGCCCACTGTTGGGTACTCACATTCAATCTGCTCATTTCCACCTTTCACGGTCCCTTTGATGTCGGCAATGTCAACAAATAAAACAATGGCGACCGGATCACGTCCACGCGAGACTACCTAAATCATTATAAAACACACAGCTGACATTTTATGTGTATAGTGTATGTTTATTTTGTTGTATAACGCGGAAAGATATTGTCAAACTGTAATGTTAGATTTAGATTAAAAACAACAACAAAGTGTTTTTCCTGTGAGCCTTTGCGAGTCGCGATTTTCAAAGCCGCCTCAGTTACCCTCAAAGCACTGAAAGAGAGAATTCGCTACCTGGAAAGAAAGATAGAAATGGCTGCGAAAACTCGCAGTACCACGACCCTGTCAGGTAAGACCAATTTGTTTTGTTGTCAAATAACGTTTTATGAATTATTTACTTTACGTACAGAAAATCCGGATTGGTAAACAAGCTAATCTATCGAATTACAGCCAGTGGCCATAGGTATTCGCCACTATGCATTATTCGACTTACATTTTAATTTGGTGCAGCTAGAAATATGTCTTGAATTTATTTGATATCCGTTTGATATTGTTCATATTTTGCACATGGGTTCTGAATCATCTCAGCTTCAAAGACATAATTTCCGTTTTATTTTCAATTCAATGTGTGTCATGGTTATGGCAATTGTTAACATGGCGGTCTATGGGGAAAGAATACGCAATGTTGTATATATGTTGCTCATGTAACTACAATGCGGAAAATTATGTATCTGTGACCAAGATTATTTCCTAACAGCCTGCATAATTTGACAACCAAATATGGAAAACTGAATTAATGAAAATGACATAGCTACACTAAAATAGCATGCAAGTCTATGAGAATTTTGCCGACTGACGTATATTTAAGTCCCCTGACTGTATAAACAGTTTTGCACGAACTATTTTCAAAGGTTGGTGAAGTAAAATAAGTGTCTATCTGAAAATATACAATTTTGAAAAATATAGCAAATAGATTGTATATTAATTGATTTGTTTTATTCATTTAGGCTGTTGTGAGGAAACGTGTCACGACCACTCCTGGAAGAAAAGATCACCCTCTCTAACTGAAGGTATGTGTTTATGGTACTATGAAACAGACGTAATTTCACTTTGAATATTTTATTATTATTCTTCCCTAGATACATTTTCACAAAATGAACCATACTCAAGTTACATTTGCAAATGGATTTGAATAACCGGTAACTTAATCATGATTTCAAATTGGACCAAATAAACTTCACACCTGTGTGAAATGGCAGTAAAACTGACCCCTTGATTTTACAATGCCGTAATTACTCCAAGGTTATGTCACATGAGATAACTGAACTTCATTCATCAGGATGTTTATGTCAGGCCGTTCACTTACTCATTG